TAAGCGCTTTAAGGTCAGGAATGGAATAATTTTCCTGATTTCAGTGTTTTCAATTCTAGGGAACAGCCCAAATGCTGTAGCTCATCTGTTTTCTAAAGTTAGATATTAAAATAAGAGGCCCAATTCACTGAGCAAAGAATTCCTACGTACTAGCTGAAGTCAGCTGCTCTGATAATCAGACCAGTTACCTGGGCATCCCCATATAGATGTAGATGTCTAAGCAAAGACATCAGAGTGTCAATACCTTTCTCTGTGAGTCCATTCGTAATTTATGTAATGCTTGTAGGGCATTTCTGGGCCTGGTGCTATTAATCCTGCAATGACACCTCCACTGTTGTGCCAATGTTCCCAGCTGTGGGTTGCATCTAAGAAGGTATCACTCAATGGGAGACCAGGGCTATTGCAGTTATCCTAATGGCAGGAGTAAGTAGAATTGGAGGGGGGTCTGCATTTGCTAATAGGATGGTGGCTGGTGCCTCCACCTGCTGAGAGTGTAACAAAGCTGCCACAGGCTCTGGCAGTTAGCTTAAGAGGTGCCTAGGCTGTTCAGGTATCAAATCTAAGGCCCATTGGGCTTGGGGCCCATTACTCAGGGCGCTATTCCAAACTGTATTTAGGCTGAGGGGTGCCGCTGTCATGGGCCTGCCCGGTGAGATAAACTGTTTGATGCTGTGGTTACTCGAGCAGCCTAGCAGGTTATACGAGCAGCCCAATCAGTGTGTCCCAGCCTCAGTATTTTCGGACATGTGGCCTGATAAAGCCATGTGTGAATCAGTAACTTCATAAAACATGCTAATTTTACTGTTAGTGATAGTGCCTGTAGCCTTGGGTAAGTCATATGACTTCAGGCCTTACCCACAACAAATAGGTACTGTGCTGCCTTCTTGCTCTCCTGAGATCAGAAACTGTTCCCTCCTGATACCTTTTGGGGTTCAAAAATGGGAGAAGGGGGAAGCATGCTGACCAGCTGTGGAAGAAGAGCATGCTGCCCCCACTCTTCTATAAGAAGGCTGTCCTATGGGGTAGATCTGCATGGACTCGTGCCTCACACTCTGTCGCTGTTTCCTAACAGGAGTGCAGTGTCTTTTTCTGTGGTGTCTGGCCATCAGACCATCCTTTCACCAGAAAAGTTCAACCTCTTCTGAGGTTCCCCATGTAGATAGCAAGCCCAAACTATTTGTATGTGCAGCTTTCCACTGTGTGTGGGACTCAGCCCTCTGTGAGTGAATGACAGGGAAAGGGACAAACCAAAGGCATAAGACCAAGCAAGTGTATAAGGCCAAGAGGAGCAGGTGGTTCCCCACGCAGGTAGGAAACACTCTGGGTTCTCTACCAGCTGTTTGCCATGAGCTGGCTGAGCTAGGGAAGAAGTGGGTGAGCAGCAAACCCATGTGGTAAATCAAAGTCCTACATCCCATATAGCAAGCTAACCCTTTCTGAGCTCCCTTTCATTTCTGTCTATGGCCAGGCCCAGAAGTGAAAGCACAGGTGCAAAGGGTAGGGACAGAAATTACACATAAACCAGTATAAGTGTTTGGAAACTGGTTCAAATCAGTAACATAACAGAAGTTCAGTGTGCATAAACCACTTGCAATATGGCCCAAACCAGTTCAAGATAAACCTATATCGGTGCATTAAGTTAAATCAGTTTATTCAACTTCGGTCCCAGATCCCCTCCAGATTCAAGTTAACTTACAGTTCCCCAGCATCTACCTGCCCTGCAACCCCCTCCCCACCACTCTCTTGCAGGGTAGGCAGGCTAGCATCAGTGGGAATTGGATGTCTAGACCCCCCTAGAAAATGTCAGCCTGAAGGTACTTATGTGGATTCAGTCTCTGAGCACATACAGGGAAAGATTGCAGCCTCATGCCTTCCTGGTAGCACCTGTACCAAAGGAGGCACTACACCCAAAATCATACACTAAGGCTTCACCCACAGAGCAACTAAAACCTGCATAGAGTGCTGTGGGCGCTTGTGGTTCTCTAGCACAGTCTTTCCTGGTAGCTGCCAGTCCTACATTGCAATGGGGAACTGAGTTTCCAGCTGGCAGATGGTACTGCTGGAGCAAACCTATTTCAAAGAGTTCTTTGAACCGCACTTCCCTTTTGTTTCACCAAGTCTTAATTTCAAGGTGCTGTTCTTTTCAGGCATTGGTCTCAGTGGTACTTCCTGTGGCCAAGGCACAACACAGAGCTATGTTAGAGGCAAAATTACAGCAGCAAGTAAATCCCCAGTTGATTTCTCAGATCCCCAAATAAGGGGCTGAGTTCTGAGCATTTGTTATAACTCTACTTTCTGCTTGCTTTTGTGACACAAAGACCAAAGCTGCCAGTGTGCCCTGAATGACCTCTGGTGCCCTACAAACCTAACCCCTTCCCAGAAAAGACAAAAATCCCATTGCCTTATATCTCCATCTGTTTAGAGAACAGTTTAACCTAACAAGATTAGCATGTGAGGTCGTCTCTTCTTCTTTTACTTTCTTTTTCCTGCCATTTGCAAAGAAAACAGCATTGGATTTTGGACAATGGGTTGAAAAACCCTCATTTGTAAGTAGCACAGCCCGTGGAAACTGTTTTGTTCAGGAGTTATCCTGGGAAGGGCTCACGGCTCCTATGTTAATGCAAACAGGAATCAGCAGAGGGGTTTAAGTGCTGATGGGAATAATGGTGTTTTAGCATCTACCCCTGGAATTGCATCAAGTCCAGCATCTACCTTTAGAGTCTTCTGCAGGTAAAAAGCATGTCATGTAGGGTAACTGTCACTGCTTGTAAGGTGAGATGTTTGCCTAAAAAAGATTGTGTTACCCAAAATGGTGTATGGTCTAGTACAGTAGTTCTCAACCTTTCTAGACTCCAAGCACCCCTTCTTGGACTCAAGGCAGCCGTTGAGAAATGCCAGCTCTTAGCTTTCACTCATTTCTTGACTATGAAAAAATAATAGACCAAGTCTTGCGTTGCAAAGATCTCAGAAAGGCCCCAACAGGTTAAAATGTTGTTGATGCTGTGGATTCCTGTTCGAAATCTCTTGGATTTATCTTGTGACTCGTGTGTAGATGCTTGCACACCTGCTAGTGGTAATATTTTGTGACACCCTTAAAAGGATCTCATGCAACCCCTGGGTGCTACAGCATGCTCTCTTGTCTAGTGGCTAGAAGAAAGGAGAATCAGGATACCTGGGTTCTGTTCCCAGGTCTGACCCCACAAGGTAAGTCAGGGCAAAATTTGCAGCTGCTGTGGCCTTAAATATCCATATTTTGATACTTCTGTAAAAAATGGCCTGATTTTCATAGATGCTCAAATGAAGCTATTAGGAGCTGGAATATCCTGAGCACTGAAAAGGCAAAAATGAGATTGAGAGCTGGACTGACCTGTGTGTGTGCATCCAGGCTCACTTGAAACACACCATTAGGCCCAGTGACCAGCCCCTTTGATTTCCAACCTTTCTTCTTGGCTTTCTTGCTACAGGTTAGCTCTGTCATCAAAGGTATAGGGCTGAAGAGGCCCCAGGGCATTGCTGTAGAAAGGTAAAGGGTTTTATTTCATTCTTTGGGGCTGTGTCTCCTCCCCCACCCGCCCTTTTTTGCTACATTGAACTGAGCTTGAATCAGACCTTCACAAAAGGGATTAGAGGATCCTCGCTGATAAATAGCGAAGCAGGTTGGAACCGTGGGAACCAGTCATGGCGCACAGTGTACAAGGACATTCTTCCTCCAGAGGGCCAGGCTGTCCCAAAAGTCCAGCCTAACCCCAGGTCACCCGGGGGACCCCAGCCCCTGAGAAGATTTGTTCGGACACTGGCTTTTGTTGTGCAGAGTTCCGTGTCAGCCCAGCGTGTATCTTGATCCCTATTGAGAGTGGGGGAAAGCTCTATTGTTAGACATGAAAGGGCTCCCCTTTCAATCCCTTTCTCTCAGGTCCTCTTGGCTACGTCATGAGGATACGTGGGAACCGGGATCCCAGAATGCGGCACACATTCCTACAGGGGCTGCGAGCCCGTGTGGGTGACCATCGCCGGGATTCCTGCAGGCGCGAGCTGACATTCCCCTTGGTTTTAGGACCTGGTTGCGGCAGGAGGCAAATGTGCTGACAGACCTTGTGCTTCATCAGTTCCACATGAGGCTGGAGTGTTTGTTGATTTAAGATCTGTGCACAGAGTAGCCTCTTGGGCTTTAGCCAGTAGCCTGTTGAGACAGAGCCCTGGTTTACTACTGCCTGGGAGGAGATTATTGGTGCTTAGGAAACTCTAGAAAGCGATGCAGGTGTTTTCACTTTTTGGCCAGCAGCTGGGATAGGAAGATCTCTGGCTGGAGATGGGCACATTTGGGATTCAAGTCAGCATCGAGGATCTCCTAATGCCAAGCTCCCATTTGTGTGATGTGCTACTCCTCTCTCCTCTGGACTATCATGCACTGGGCAGTAATAATCAGGGGTAGGAAAGGAGGAGGAGTAATCCTGGAGCAGGGAAGGAGGAACTGCTGGGGGCCAAGTGATGCCATTTTGCTTCAAATACAGGGAACTTCTCTGAAACATTTGCTCTCCTTACAACCAGACACTGGTACTGGTGGGATGAGAGGGATCAACTCTGATTCCATCCACAAAGTTTCTATTTGACTTTCTGGTCAAGCAGCTAGCAGACATGGTCTCAGAAAGGAAATGCTCCGTTTTCAGTCCTGGCATCTGTGTAGGTGAAGGTGAGACAAGTGTCCAGGAAACAACACAGCTCAGGTCTGGATCTCAGCTTCATTAACATCCTGGTTCTTGTTTGGCCCATTTTAGGGATAAGGACAAAACAGGACATTTTCACCATAGCAAGGAGGTGTCCTTGACATGCAAAATAAAAACCTTGCAAGTCAGCAGTAAGTTAAATCCAATTCACCTGCTTGGCATCTGGCTCCGACACTTGCTAGAATCCAGCAAAGCAGTGAAGTGTGAGTTGCAGAGGCAGGACCCTGCCACCAAGCATGGCATGTTTTACCCTACTTGCTGACTGCAAGAATCCTTTGGGTGACCTGGCAGGGGAGATCCCATAATCACCAAGGTGGTTTTCTCAGGCTGAGGCCCATCCCTTGCACTCTAGGCAGGCTGACCCCTGCAAGTTTCTCCAAATGTGGGAAACTTGACTGCACAATTTTGTGGCAGTAGGAGCTGGGTTTTTTTTGCTTTCCCCCTGACTTGCTCCTTGGCCTTTTGGCTAGAAGCAAGCAAGATAAGGGGGCATCTGAACCCCAGGGTTTCTGGACCCTGGGCTTGTGTGTAGGATGCTTGCCACAGATTTGGGGAGTATCCAAAGCCTCAGACTGATGGGTCTGGGAAGGAGGATACTTGGCTGGTGGTAGAGCCACACAGACTTGAACAATTGAGCTCTGCTCAGTTGAAATTTCGAACTTGACTCTTGGAATTTGCCCAAGTGAATTTGGAGTTGATTTGGCCCTTGAAATGAAATATATTTCAAAAAAGAAAAAGAAAAAACATTCCAAAGACTGTAAGGTGAAGGGCTGCTAATAATAGAGGGATGCATGCATATTTTCTTTCTTAATAATGCCCTTTTCATTACCGCCTTTCATCCAAAAGGATACAAAGCAGTTTTCAGTTGTGTGGGAAGGGAGAAGTGGAACACAGCCAATGTTAGCAACTTACAGCAACATTACAGAAGCGTTTAGGGCTGTGAGTGAAGAACACTGTGTCCATATGAAGCAATGGGGGAAATTTAATGAGGCAGAAGATATTTGGGCACCAAGATGAGCTACTTGGTCAGGACCTCAGGTTTTCTTGTCTCGGAGAGCTGGTGACTCTTAGATGGTAGCTCCTAGCGCTCACTCCTGGTGTTACAGTTTTTGAACTGGCTCATTCTTTCCCAAAGGCTCCAAGAACTGAGGAAGAAGTTGATTTCATGGCATCTTGTTCTCTGGGTAAGGCTGATGTCTGTCAGTGACAAGTGACTCCAGAGCCTTGTCCACTCCCGTGCAATGAAAGCGCTCACAAACCTCTCAGTAAGCCATACACAAGTGTGACCCAAGGGCTTTGGAGCTTTGGCTTCCGACAGCGAGACAATGTGCAGGAGTGACAAACACATTTCTGTTGCCCATCCTTTGTGCTTCTCCACATCAGATATTTCAGGAATGAAAAACAAAAGCCTCATATGAGAATCAGGATTACTCCAGGGAAGCAAGGCAGCTTGGAACAGCACTGGGACAGCAGGGAGTACGGCTGTCATTGAGCGCTCCTTCTCTGCAGCCTGGCTTGCTAAGGAGACATGTTACTCTCCCTGGGAAATGTGTGTGGGCAGCAGCATAAATATTCTTAGAGGCCACTTGGGAGTCTAGGAGCTGGAGAGGCAGTTTAGCTCCATTAAGGCTGGGCAACAGCCAATTCTTTCAAATTGCTGTGAAAGACATGGGACAGGCTCCCAAGGAGCAGGATTTCAGTTCACACTTCTTAGTCCTCACCGGTGGGCAGAACAAAAGAGTCACTACCTGTCTGGATTTTGGGGGCATTCCCAAAGTGCTGACTCAGGGCTTCTCTGGGTGATGACGTGTCCCCTGAAGTGGACGGTGGAAGGGGAATGCAGGGAGGCTGGCACTCCCACACTGCACGCAACCACTAGGCACTCAAGAGGGACAGTGGAGATCAAGGTGATGAGTCAGGGCTTGGGGGACACATGTGGTTCTTAGGGAGCTCCTGGGCCACGAGAGCAGAGAAGGCATGTGAATTGCGTGGTTTTCTTGCTTGACTCGCTAAGAGCAAATGAGTAGGGCAGACAGAAGACTGAGCTGGTGGCCAAAGCGCTGGGACAGCACAAACTAAGCCGATCTTGCCACAGTCTCCGAGTAGCCCTGGATGCCAGTTCCTTGTTATGGTCATTGTATATTGAGGGAGAGTAAAGAGCCAAAAGAGAATATGGGTAAAAAATGTGAGGGTGCTTTGAAAGAGCCCACAGGAAAGAGCTTAGGTTGGAAATAGCACTCCAGAGGCCTGACAGAGAGAAAGCACCAAACTGGGCAGGTACCTCCACGAGGATACACTACTGCATCACCTCTTTACTCCTGGAGTAATTGGGTGATGGGGGAGAAGGGATCACAAAGTAGCTAGGTGGTAATCCACTGAAGAGCAAGCACATAGAGTAGATGAAGTGCTGGAGAATGAGCTGCCTGAGATGCAACACTATATTTTAGTTGAATTTCCTTCCCTCGGGAGGTGCGATGCTGCATATTGTGCACGGAGATGCTTCAATCTGGCTTCCATAATCTGCCTTTCAGAAATTACAGTGAAAAAAAACAGCCTGGAGGTGATGGGGCATAATTTACCTTGGCTAAGGCTGCATCTGGGAGGAGAGCTATATAAGTGCATGTACACACCAAGAAGGTGTTTCAGAGCATAGTTTCACAGTTTCATAGTAGCTAGGGTCAGGAGGGACCTGAACAGATCATCTAGCTTGCCCCCCTGCCACAGGCAGGAATAAATGCAGGGTTCACAAGACCCCAGACAGGGGATCGTCCAACCTCCTCTTGAATTTGCCCAAGGTAGGGGCGAGGACCACTTCCCTGGGAAGTTGGTTCCAGATTTTAGCCACCCTAACTGTAAAATATTGCCTTCTGATCTCTAACCTAAACCTGTTCTCCATCAGCTTATGACCATTGCTCCTCGTCACCCGAGGTGGTGCTGGGGAGAAAGGAGCTCTGCCTATTTGCTGTTGATCTCCCCTGATGAGTTTGTCGGCAGCCACCAGATCCCCCCATAGCCTCCTTTTGCTGAGGCTGAACAGGTTCAGGTCCCTCAGTCTCTCCTCGTAGGGCCTGTCCTGCTGCCCTCTCACCAAGTGGGTGGCCCTCCTCTGAACCCTCTCCAGGCTGGCCACATCCCTTTTGAAGTGCGGCGCCCAGTACTGGATGCAGTACTCCAACTGCAGCCTGACCAAAGTCGCATAGAGGGGGAGGATCACCTCTCTGGACCAGATTGAGAGGCACCTTTGGATGCATGACAAGGTATGGCTGGCCTTGCTGGCTGCGGTCTGGCATTGGCGGCTCATGTTCATCTTGGAGTCAATAATGACTCCAGGATCCCTTTCTGTCTCTGTGCTTTCAAAAAGGGAACTCCCCAGCCTGTATGTATGCTGTGGATTCCTTCTCCCAAGGTGCAGCACCCTACATTTGTCTACGTTGAACCCCATCCTATTCTCATCTGCCCACTTTTGTAGTCTATCTAAATCTATTTGCAGCCTTGCTCTCCCTTCAAGTGTGTCCACCTCGCTCCACGTCTTAGTGTCATCGGCAAACTCGGACAGCGTGCCTTCCACCCCCTTGTCCAAGTTGCTGATGAAGACGTTAAACAGTGCGGGCCTGAGAACCGAAGCCTGGGGTACCCCACTGCTCACATCTTGCCAGGTTGAGTACAAGCCGTCCACCACTACTCTCTGGGTGCGCCACATCAGCCAATTTTCTACCTATCCAACTGTGTAAGCATCAATGCCACAGTCGTTTAATTTATTGATGAGGATGGGGTGAGAGACAGTGTCAAAGGCCTTCTTAAAGTCTAGAAAGACTACGTCCACGGCGACACCATCATCCAAGGATTTAGTTACTTGGTCATAAAAGGCAATCAGGTTGGTCAGGCAGGACCTGTCTTTGATGAACCCATGCTGATTGCCCCTGAGCATGATCTCCCCTGCAGGCCACCCACAGATGTGCTCCTTGATGATTCTCTCCAAGATCTTCCCGAGCACCGAGGTGAGGCTTACAGGCCTATAGTTACTTGGGTCCTCCTTCCTCCCTTTCTTGAAAATTGGGACCACATTAGCCAGTTTCCAATCCCCTGGCACCTGGCCAGATGACCATGAATGCTCATACAGCCAGGCCAAGGGCTCCGCAATGACCCCTGCCAGCTCCCTCAACACCCTTGGGTGGAGGGCATCTGGACCTGCAGATTTAAAAATGTCTAGCCCTTCCAGAAGATCCCTAACTGCATCTGCACTGACAAAAACATTGTTACTCCTTGGGTGTCCAGAAGAAGGGGGGTTCATCTTAGGCCATCAATGAGGGCCGATGCCATCACTGGTGGGTATGGTCAGGATTTCCAGTGTTTCCTCAAGTAATTTCCCCCTGCCTGCCCATATACTCTCTGTTCTGCCAAAGCTGAGTAAGTCCACATGAGCATCAGTACCAGACAGTCATATTGGGGAAAGGGCACTGCATACCTGACGTCAGGCAGATTTGGTGGGAGGACCGCCCTCCAGCTCCCAGGGCCTTCATGCATTATACTTTGTCCAGATTACCCCAGCCACTGACACATCACAGCCTGCACCATCCTCCCATCTCTGGTAGCTGCCCTGTCCCTGCCTCAGCTGACCCGTAGATTAGTTGGGCAGTATCACGCTTTAGGATTAACTGCCAGTCAGCCCCCATCCTTATCACTGACCTCTCTTCTTCCTCCCCAGCCCCTGCAGATCTGTTGAAAAGTATCCAGCAGCAAGGGAAATGCTGACTCCCTCCCTCACCATGTGCCCAGGGTGTTTACTTTCTGTTTGATTTTCTATAGAAAATAAATAGCTCTGGATCAGGACTTTTTTCCCAGGCTATCAGAGCCACCAAATTAGTCCTGCCTAATCGAATACAGCTGCTTCCTGTTCACTCAATAGCAAACCTAACGCTCCACCGTCCTCCTGGAACATTTATTTAAATAGGTAAGATCCGGATTTCCAGAGTGAGACAAACGGCACTGATCCTCCTTAACTGTTTCAGCCCTGATCTGGCTGTATCTGAACCTCGCCATTCCCAGGCCTCCCATCCTGTTCTTTTAAGGCTTTCCTGCTGATGAGTTCATCACTGTACTAATGACAGGACAAGGAATGACAGAAACCTTAAAACTCTTGAAGAAAAATCCATGAAGGTAAATACCTGTGTGGTCGGTTTCATCCCTTGCTGTGAAATTCCCTTCTGTACAAGGTCCCTGTTATGTTTCCGAGGCTTAAAGACTGAACCAACTCCTATCAGGTGGGCAAAGTTTTCAGATGCTCATAAGATGTTTAGCAATCCCACTTTTTAAGAGACATGAACACTTAGGAGCTTAAATCTCCTTGTGAGCCAGTGTCATTTATGTTCCTAAGTGACCTGCTTGTATTTGAAAATTTCCTCCAGTTCTGTCTTACGATAGCCCTTTGTCAAATGATTCT